GGCTTTATCAGGTATGTATGAAAAGTCATCGACGAATAACAATGTGCACTTGATGAAAAAGTTATTCAACTTGAAGATGACGGAATGTGTGATGTTACTTTACACCTGAATGATTTCAATACAATCACAAATCAATTATCATCTGTTTAAATTTATTTTGATAATGAGATACGTGAGCTGATATTATTGGTTTCATTGTCAAATAGTTGAGAAGTCATTTGTAGGTAAATCTAAGATGAAATATGATGATATCCGTGATTTGATTTTGGCTAAGGAGGTGCGCAAGAAGGATTTTGGCGAGGCCTCGTGTTCAAGTTCGACCTTGAATGTTGGTTCCAGAGGGAGATCACATGATAGGAACTCAAACAGAGAAAGATCAAAATCAAAGTCTGGTCAGCAAGCAACCTGCTGGAATTGTGGTAAGGTTGACCGCATAAAAAGGAACAGCATGAATCCTAAGAAAAAAGAAAATGATGGTGTTAATGTTGTAACTGAAAAAATACATGATGCACTATTGCTAGCAGTTCACGGTTCTGTTGATGACTGAATACTGGATAAGGGGTTTCCTTCCATACATCTTCCCGTCGGGAATTAATGCGATATTATGTTGCATGTAACTTTTGGAAGATATATCTGGCTGATGGAACAGTTATGGACGTGGTGGGGATGAGAGGCGTTGATATTACACTCTCTAACAAGAGCAAATGAACATTGCAAAAGGTTAGACACGTTTATGAGTTGAAAAAAAAACCTCATCTCTGTTGGACAGCTCAACAAGAGTGGTCATTGAATAGTGTTTTCAGATAGCACATGAAAGTTTACCAAATGAGCATTATTACTGGCTCGGGGTAAGAAAACTGACACACTATATATGACTACAGGTTTACTCAGCCGTGGATACATGAGTCAGAGGTGCATTATGGGGAAGCAGAAGAAGGTCAATTTCTTGAAAAGTGGCAGAGAGCCAAAGATATGAAAATCAAACCTTGTACATAGCTATGAATAAATCTTGCAAGATGAGAATTCAAGTGGGAGCTGGCTAAGATGAAGAAGACGGGTTTCCTGTAGGGAATCAGACTCGGGAGCTGGCATAACTTCCACCGGAGAAGAATGTATTGCACAACAAGTAGGTGTACCGAATGAAGACTGAGCTTGATGACAGTAAGAGGTATAAAGCTAGACTTGTTGAAAAGAGCTTTCAACAGGGGCTGGATATTGCTCATGCAGTGAGAGTTGTAAGCAGATGCATGTGTAACCCATGAAAGAGCTTGGCGGTACAAGGCTACACTGATAGTGATATGTCAACTGAGGGTGTTACTCGTGAAAAGTTGAATTTGTGCTTGAATTTAGCTGGTCTTCTGATATGAAGACATGAGTTTTAAGTTGCAGAGATGGATGATATCTTGTTTAAGAAAAATGTCGGCACAACTAGTAGATGATGCAACCAGTAGGTGATGAAGTCAGTGTCCCAGTTTCCAAGTGGAAGAATTGTTGGGTAATGTGGAGACCCGGTCCACCGCAATTTAATTAGCTTCCTAATTAAGAATCTCACATACCACTCACCCATCTTCCCATGTACCGTTCACCTACCACATCTCATCTACCGCTCACTTACCTCCCACCTATCACTCTCTTGCTTTTATAAATAGAGAGGGTATGAGGCTTAGGAGAGCAAGGGAAGAGATCTTAAGCTACTACAAAGGAGGATAGAATAGCTAGAGAGCTAGAGAGGAAGAGAGCATCTTGAGGCCTTGTATCAAGGTGTCTCTTGAGAGGGAGGCCATAGAAGGAAGATGAGGGTTCATCTCTATGTATAAGCTATGTATTCTCCATTTCTTTTGCCTTAGTGAACTATTTGATTGATTTCTTCCCGTGGACGTAGATCCAGTTGGATCGAACCACGTAACGATCTGTGTTTGTTTGTGTTCTTTGCGTCTCATTTCTATGCCAGGAAGAAAATATCTCACAACACATACAATTCACTTTCTTTAAGATCCTACTCGCAATCTATTAGCTTGTCCATTTACTTTCCATTTTTTTGGTATTTACAGTTCTATGGGAATATCTATCTATAGACATTTCCAATGGACTCAAATCATGTTTTAATGATGGTTGTACATTCGCTTGTTTATCACATTTATAAAATTCAGTTGATTTTAAGTGTTTTGCCTTTCTGATTTTCTATGCTACACGACTAAACCATTTTGAATGTGTAATTTGATATTTTTCCATTTATAAAAATCTTGGTATTCCCTTCAGAGATGCTTCCAACACCCCCCTTCCCCCTTCTATAGTAGGCCCTTATTTCACCATTCTAAAAGCATTTTAACGTCCAATGCAATACCATGTCCTCCATTCTACTCTATAAAAGCATGTTAACGTCCCAGAACCAGAAAGCAGCTTCTTACAAGTCATTAGGTGGGTATTGCAGTTCTTAATCTTCAAGATTAATTGTCAAACTATAACCAACTTATATTGATGTTTATTAGTCCAAAAAAATAACCAGTGACAAAACTAAATCAGAAGACAAAGTTCTGTCTGAGAAAAACATATAAATTTAAACAATATAATAAAAATTGGATTTAAAATCTTGAACTTGCACATAAGTTGGACTCTAGCCCTTGAGTATTAGTTTCTTTATTATTCTATTCGGAATTTAGTAGGAACTTTATACAACCTTTTATTACTACTAATTTTGGGATTAGTAATGACTTTGCAACAACAAGACAGAAGAGTTAATTGCCCATAGATTTTCATTCTCAATCTCATTAGCTAAAGAAGTAGCCTAGCTCAATGAAAAATCATGTCAGATAACTAGGCAACGATTAAATGAAACAAATATAGGACAGAAACCCTTTCTCAAGCCATTATTAAGCAAGCATTTATCCAAATACACATGAACCAAATTGCATCACACTTCTACTCACTTCATGTGCAAAAAAATGGCACCAAGATAAAAGATATCAATGTTGTTTTCCCATTAACAAAGAGTAGCTGAAACGGAACTCCAAAATTTCATTTTTTTTCACTAACACCAAGTCAACCAGTTTCACTCATAACGTGAGAGAGTGAGAGAGAGAGAGAGAGAGAATGAAATTCAGAATGAAATTCATTAATAAATTAATAAATTATTGTCATGATATGGAGATTATTTTTCCGAGTACCTCCCTTGAGGCATGATTACATTTGCAATCCATCCCAAACTTGCAGGATCCTGTCTGCAGATAATAGGGGAAATCAGGCACACTTGAATTCTAGGTATAACCAATGAAAACAGTCTTTAAACCATCGAAAGAAACCTCATCGTTTCTGACTCTTGTATCCTTGTCCACACCAACGATCTCATGGTGATCTCCAGCCAAGGGAACTGTACTGACTTGTTCCACTTCCTTGAATTCTTTAGCCTCCATTGTAGGGGCTGATGTGGTCTTAGGCATGTAAGGCATGCCAAAACGTAAATTTAGTTTTTCAAACAATGATAAGAGTCCCATATAGGTAGCCTGAACTTTCACCCTATTTCAAGAGGAAAACTTCAATTCAGAAGGACAGAAGAAACAAGGTGGAGCAACATATTTGCTTCTTTTTATAAGGTATTGTCAGATCAAAATAAACAATTTGAATATATTTTCAAAAAATTAAATGTTTCTGAAGAAATAACATCTGATCATTACAACCCATGGTCCCACATGTTGGATAGGATAATTAATAGTTAGCCAAATTCTATCCCTACAACTTATTCAGGTTGAAAGCAATATTCGGATAAACTTATAGCTGTTGAAGTACTAGAAATCTCCTTAAAAAGCCAAGGTGGTTGCCAAATAACGTTGAGGTAGACCACAAAATTATTACATCTGGTTATGTACATAGCTGTATGCAGCTTACAAAAGTAAACAATTGTGTATCCGCTGTTGTGGAGGCACCCCTCATGTTGTATAAATCCAACCAAGGGTAAAAGAACAAGAAATAAACATAGAGACAGAAGATGTGGGGCAGGAAAAAAGGCATGAGTTATTGGAAAAAAAAATTAGTTCAAGATAACCCGAATTAAATTTAACCCACAATACAAAACATCAATTGTATAACCGATATAAACTTTTATTTTACAACACAATAGGGGTAAAAACAACTATCAATAACTATCTTTATTTTTTCCCCTTATAATAGAAAGAATTATTCTCAGATTCAACAAAAATGTCTAGTGATTAAAAAAAAAAAAACTGAATTTAGCTCCGGATACTGAATTTAGCTCCGGATATCCTCCTCATCCAAGTTCTTGCCTGGTTGAAGGATAAAAGGATCACGATTTCTCGTAAGAAACACATGGGATGGGGATGCGGGATGGGGATGCCACAGTGTAAAAAAGAAGCACAAAAGTCAAATTAATAGACATATAGAACAAAGTTAAAGCAGCAAGATTGGGAGATAACCATTTCAAGCATTGAGAGATGACCATAAGTGTTCATGACGAGAGCAGTAACCAAAAGTACTTCTAGCCAGGTTAGGTTTAAGATTCAAAAGAAAAAAGAGAAAAAAAAGAAGTATAGATCCTGGGAGAAACTCCATCATAAATAAATGTTGCCAATTTCGTCAACTAAAAAATATTAATTCGAGCAAGCAAATCAACATGAAGAAAGAATATCATAAAAAGACAAACGATGATACAAAGCACAAGCTTGGATCAAATTCAAGGCGGCGAGAAGGGGGCGATGTGGAAGTGGAGACAGTTACCTAGAGGGGAGGGAGCGTACATACGAAGCGGAGATAGAAGGCAGAACGTCACCAGTAGTTGATGAAACGCGTGCAGGTGAAGCCCGACGACTTGACGTCAATGCGGAAAGAAGAAAAGCGGAAAGGGGCGTCCTCTATTCCGTATCATGAGATAATTTTTTCGGTTTTTGGGATGGACTTGAGAAAAGCTTTAATCCCACTAATCACTTCAATTATGAAAGCTATTCGACTTTGGAAAGCTACGCTTGGATGCTTTACTTTTGTAGCGTTACTTAGGGCTGTCGAAAAGGCTCGTTTGTCCAACACTTTGTGTTCGGTTAGTTAAGAAGTTCGTGTTTGGCTCATTCACTAAGTTAACGAGGTGAACACGAACAACACAAATAAAGATTTGTTTGTTTGAGTTCGGCTCATTTTAGCGTGAAATACTACTATGTTTGTTCGTGTTCGGCTCATTTTAGCGTGAAATACTACTAATCAATTATATATATATATATGATAAATAGTCTTTTTTTTAAATTTAATTGACTACAAGACTACAAAGATTTATAATCAATCTTTAATTTAAATAATAATTTTTAAATCTTGCCTCAATCCTTATTGTCTTATGACTACATGATGTTATGTGATTATGGTTGTTAAAACGACTCTTTGCTCGTGAACGGCTCGTGTTCGGCTCGCTAAGCAAACGGGCCGAACACGAACAAAACACATTTTGTGAGCTTGAAATATAAACGAGCCGAACACGAGCTGAGGTTAGGCTTGCTTGTGTTCGACTCGTTTACACCCCTAGCGTTACTAATAGTGCTAGCTGAAGCTTATTAATAAGCTGCAGATATGTAGTTAGGAAGCTATTGTGTCACAGCTGTTAAGGACAAGCTGTTGGTTGTTTTGTTGCTAGAAAATAATTGTTTTAATATTATTTCTATACAAATGATCATCAGCCACTATGCAGTTTTGTTGTTTGCAATAGAACTGTCACAGCAATATATTTGATATTTGAAAAATAAAAATTTACTTCATAATAGTACAAAAAATAAGATATATACCTCATATAACAGTGAATATCATGATTATTAAAATAAGGTATAATACTATTAAATTAACATTTAATAATATGATAATATTAATGTTAAAGTGGAGACTACGTATGTCAATAGCTAGATCGTATTATAGGGATACTCTGCACGTCTGGTCACTCTTGGCAGTTGATTCGTCGAGGTCAAATTTTTATGTGATTCTCCGCGGGCACCTATAGAACTGTTTCTCGTAACTATGTGGTTGACGTGACGTCAGCAAGGGAGGTTGAAGTCGAAGTAGCAGAGCAATCGTCAGGAGATCCTTGAAATCCTAGAGCTCGTCTTTCATGAATACCTCAAAAGACAATCCATTAGTCATAACACAAGTATAAATTGATTAAACAGTAATAAATTACAGTTTTATGCAGGTGTAAGGGCTCAAAAAACTCAGTATATCAACCAACAAATCTTATAAAACAAAGTTTTTTTGTTGTCTTTAACCCGCGTAATATCAAGCTCGTGTGTGTCACATATGCATATCACTAAAATAAAAAGACCATCCCAAAAGTACCTCAAAAAACATTGCCTTCCCAAGCAGCGATCACAAAAATTAATTACATGTTGAAATCACATATTGCTAAGTGATCCAAGTCGTCAAATGTATGCAACATTTTCATTATTGGATACATGTGCATTCACATGGGTTTCATCAATCGCTCCAATATAGTCTGACAAATTAAATAAAGTTGTGACAACCACTCTACTCATTTTTGGCTTTTGAATATAATGAGTTAAAAGATTTACCTTAAGAAATGACATATATCGCGGTCATTTATAATCTTTGTTTGAGTCCTCTTGAATATTGGATCCTCTGTCTTAATTATTTGTATTGATAAACCAAAAAGAGCCTTCAACCCAACTAAGAAATATATGCATATTGTCTTCAATGAATGCTGAAATCTCTTTATCACTCCTTAAATTGATTCATTCTGTGAAAAAATATAGATGGTTATTGCTAACACATCTCTGGTTATCATTCTTGATGAGTCATGAAGTCAGTGATTCTTATATAATTCATCAAGCAAATCCATAAATATAGGTCGTGTCATACAAAATGTTGTTGAATCTTGTAGAGTGTCATTGTAGTAAATCCCCAATCTATTTATCACCAGTATAAATATATGTCATGCAAGGAGTTCAGTCAACGTATGAGTTGTAGTATTCGTATAACATATATAATATTGCCACAATTTTTCTTATTCGTCTCTTATTGACCTCAATTTTGGTGAGGTCTAAATTCTTTCTCTTAGGAGTTAGGATCTAACCAGAAAACTTTTCTATTGACTATCCTAAAGGACTAGTGAAGGAACCCACCCTACGTAGAAGTTCAAACCACTTCTTGGCTCTTTTTGAAGTCTCACTTGGATTGTCATAAACCTCTATCACTTGAGTGGTTGAAACCAACATTTGAAGAATCAAAAATAAGTTCCCACAGGACTTTAAAGCCCTAGGAATACCCTTTATGACCTTGCATGGCTCAGGCACCTCGCACTCACTCCACTTCACTTATATTGCACACC